TAGGTCGTCTTGGCTAGGTTTAAAAAGTAAGCGAGCTCAAAGTCTCACTGCAATACTTTGTGTTTGTATATATAAGAAGAAAAAGAGTATATCGGAAGTGTGAAATGAATAAAAACATCGACAACTGAATGGTATAAGGTCGTCAAATGTAGTTACACAAACTCGATAATACAAGTCGTATAGAATTAGAACGACTTTAAGTTAACAATTTGAGGGAGATTGTGTAAGTCCAGAGACGTGTACCTAAATGTCATCCAAGCATTGTGCACTGTCTATGTAATAAATACAATTATATATATAAAAGATTGGTATGTGACGTATCTATGCAGCCTACCGCCACCTCGCTGGCGCACTAGCGCCATTTCCAAACGCCTGGCTTCCCTGCGAGCGCATTATGAACTGTCGTAATGAAAAGTATGGAGAGCATTTGTTAGGCCAAACGGCAAGTTAACAATGCGCCCGCGACTTCCTGCCACAATCACATGAGCCAAGCTTTATTACTAACATAACAAGTGCTTATAAAATAGCGGAAGTGATCTCGGGTCACATTGTACAGAGGAAGGTGAGTGAGCCGGAGCGGACTTGGTCCTCCCGAGCTACTGACATCTGGGCACTTAGAAATTTATATACTAAGGAGTAATTTATAAAATCACACAAAATAAAAGTATTAGAACAGACGACCGCTACTCGCATTCTGCACGTCTATTGCTAGTTTTAGTGATGTATTAGAAAAGGTGCTTCACTTTACGTTCATTCGCCGGGACAAGCGGTAACCCGGTACATAACACAAGTTATACATATTCCCGAGCCCCACCACAATATTATTTACTTCGAACGCTGCTTGAATGTTACACAATTTTGTCTTTGCATTTAGAAAGCCCACTAATTAAACAGTTATAATGAAAAGCAGTAATGTGAAACGGCAAAGGTCTAGATAACGTTGAAGAAATAGACAAAAGTGTAAAAGAAAAGACACGGAGATGTCTACATGCTGATCTAAACTCAAAAGAAATTAACATTGGAATAAAGCATATAACTAAATTATCGATAGTTGGCATTCCCGTGTGGAGTGAATTCTAGCAGCGTCCGGTACATAGCAATGTAGTCCTTATAGTGAGCGAGAGTAGGACGATATCTGCGCGTCTAGGGCGGTCGGAGCCGCAAGCTTACGTCGTACAAGCCACATACAGATGTCGTTAAAGGATTAAAACTAATGGATTCCGTAGTTAGGTTACATCACATCATCTGGGCATGCATATGTGCTCGAGTCGGAACCGACCGTTCATACAAGAGACACACAAACATATCACGTATTAATTTATACTATTACAAATTAAAGCATGTTACTAATTAGATAGAATAGGAGAGGAAAGAAGGTATTTGACAAGTAGACTTTATAATAACTATAATAGAAGGAAATTTGATCAAAAGTCAGTAATGTAAGGGAAAATTTAATTGGTAATATGTTTGCGTACCTCTACAAAACCACAATAAAAACTGTTAGCCTTTTGGCCTAATTCTGCATATCGCTATAGTTAACGTAAGCACGAACTGAACCGTTCTTAATCTATGAAGTATTGCGTGCGGATGTCGACAGACAAGCGGGGCTACAGCTGGACACAAACGAGCCCCAAAAACACCTAGAATTGAAAAACTTGAAGCAGGCCTCAAATCAAACACAATACCAATAATAAACTGTTCGTGTGAAATATTAAAAGTGCAGCTAAAAAATTCAAAACGCACCGTGAAGTCTAAACACAAAGACATCGGAACAGCTGTAAAAAAGACTCAAAAACTAATTTGGCCACAAACTAAAACTAACGAATCTAGTAATCAGAAAACTGCAGTGCCGCTGATGCAACTAGAAGATCGTGTTGTATTTAATGTTGCTTCCATATCTGCACCTATAGCAAAGTTAGCACAACTGTTAAACACTAAGACAGCATTCAGCGCAAATGTATAGGCAACCGCAGCAACTGGAACAAGCGCCTACACCTCAAGCCCAAGAAACAAGACAGAAGTCTGTCACGAGCAGGTCACATTCTAATCGTAAAACATTCGGTGATATTCCAAGCATTAGAAATTTGAAGGAAACATGCAGATTTGAAGAGAAATCTAATATCACGATAGCGTTGAATCGTTTAGGGACCAGTGGAAGGTCGGGTGACATACGAAGCGGACCGCCGCGAGTACGGCGAGTCGGGTGACGAGCACAAAGTAGCATATTTGAACGGTGCCGTAAGATCTAAAGAGAAAGGACGAGAACAAGCGTCGACCAATTTAGTAAAGCGTTGATATAACGAAGCGGAATAC